TATATATAACCAATTAATATGTCATCATACAACTCAATGGCTTTGTTCTCAGAATTGCCAAGAATGTAACCATCTGAGTGATATTTAATTTCTTAAGAACTGGAGAACATCCATTCTCAGTTTGTTAAAACCTATCATGAAACTCTCTCCTCTAGTCAAATGAAATTCCAAGACAGATTTATAAAAAAGTGAGATTTGTTTTTTAAACTGTGCCCCAAACTATGGAATCCAATTTAGAAAATTATTGGGTATATGAGATCAATGAAAGCAATGGGCAGTATACAGGGCACAAATGTCTCATTTCACACCCCATTCTCCACTGTCCACTGAGCTTGCTGTAAAGGTACCATGGGACATTTTTTTTTTGTCGGTCATGGGGCTTGAACTCTGGGCCTGGCCTTAGCTCTTCGGCTCAAGGCGAGAGCTCTACCACTTAAGCCACAGTGCCACTTCTGGCCTTTTCTGCTTATATGGTGCTGAGGAATCGAACTCAGGGTCTCATGCATGGGAGACAAGCACTCTAGCACTGAGCCACATTCCCAGCCCCTTCTCCAACATCTTATTACCTGTTTTCTTACAACATAAGCACCAAGAAATAGGTACTTTCAAGAAGGGTGGTGGGGCCAAAGGGAGAGGTGTAGAGGAATGAATGGACGAAGGGAGGGAAAATGAAATCAAGAATTTATTGTATATACCACAAAGTTAAGAAAAGTAAGGGAAGGGATGGGTCAAAGGAGGGGTGAAGTGTTGAAGAGGTGAATTGATCAGAAGCCTTGTATTCATAACCTGCTTTGCTAAATGGCACTTCCCTTGTACAACTTATTAAAGATAATAAAAAATTTAAGAAATGAAAATTCTTTAGAAATGATGGCAATATTTAGAAATTTATAATAAGAAATGATAGCTATATAAACTGCAGGTAAATTGCCTTTAAATATTAAAGTGACTTGTAATGAAAATAATTAAAAAGTGTTTAAGTTCTCTTACCTGCTGAACTAAATTCTGCAAAGACATCTTTAGTTGTTTGAGGCTTCCCATCTGGATCAATGTCCATAATGGTGCGCCACAATTCAGAGAATCTGGTTCTTTTCTCTTTGGGCATGTATATTCCATGCCACAGTGCTTTCAGCATATAGTCAATATGGATTAGAATCTGGCCAATTCTAGTATCATAATAGGCAGGAGGCAAATGACAAGAAGAACTCTGATCATAATTAGCTTCTAAACTGATGGAAGGTATTTGATTTAAGCAATAAATCCCAACAGCCAACTCTCTTATGATCTGATGGACTTCTCTATAGTCTAAGAGGGCAGAAGGATCCACAGGAGTCAGTAGAATTGCAGTAGAGAAGCCTACTGTATTCATTTGACTCATTAGTCCACAAGGGCTGTCTAGTTGGAAGCGAACATCCTCTTTGGAAGATAACCAACTAACTAGTGCCGTAGCTAGTAATTCTTGTACTTCACTCCGATCATATTTTTCAAATAAAGCAGATGCATTTCTCTGTATTGCTAAATTTTCCAGATAAGTTTCTTCATCTTGAACTTGATCAAGTCTAGGTACTCCTTTTTTGGGCAACCTTATCATTTCTGATTAAACCTAGTTCCTTGGTGAAGTTTCTGCAACAAATAAAAGTGAAAAGACAAATAATAAAATTTACTGTGGTAAAGAAGCTAGATTTCCCTAGGAATAGATATATCTCTAAAGTTCATCTCTCTAAAGTTCATCTTTTCATAGTCAACCTTTTTTCAATTTTTAAAATAATTATATCATGAAAAAGCAGAAATCTGAATTGAACTAAAATTGTAAAACCGTTAGTATCCATCATGTTCTGCTTTTCCAATATAAGAAAATATTGAAAAGTACAATCATTTGCTGCATAAAAATAGTTCTGGAACTTTACAATTTAGGCAGGGGTGGGGAAGGGGAGGGAATGTAGTTGTGGATATGGGAAGAAAGGTATGGTAGGGGAAAATCAAAGGAGGAGGCAACAATCCTTGATAAGAAATGTACTCATGACCTTGCTCATGTGATTGTAACCCTTCTGTACAGTATTTTCACAACAAAAAACTTATTTAAAAAAATAGTTCTGACAGAACCAGGTTCTGTGGATCCAAATATTTTTAAAATATTTAAAAAATTATAATATTTCTACTTATTTCATTAAATTGGCCTCCATCATACAGCGATTCTCAAAATTTAGCCTGTATCAATTCACTTGAAACTTGTTAAAACACACACTGTTGGATGCCACTGGAGTTTCTGCTACTGTTAACTGGCCTGGGGTCAGAGAACTTTTATAAAGAAGATGCAGAGGCTGCTGGTCTGGGCATTGGATACTAGATAGGTGGTATTTTGCCCACTTTATAGACTTTAGACTGACAGACTACAGGACATGTCTGAGGTTAAACAACTTTCAGACTCAGAACCTGGTGAGTCTAAATTCAAGCTCAACACTCATGGCTACAACCAGGTGGCATCTGCTATGGACATGGGAAAGGACAAGGAAATGAGAGAAACCTACTTTACAAAGAAGTCATATTCTTCATGGTCCCGAGTATCCTCAGAAGCTTGAGGTGGTACTGTCCAAGTATATCTTCTGGACCTTGACACTTGGTCAAGCCCTCCACAGAGAGAGGGAGATTCTGCAGGAAGCTTCTGAATGGCTTTCCTGGGTCTGCTTGCCCTCTGAAAACTGTCTGCCTGGTCTTGGACACCTGTTGCTCCTCTGAAGCAGGTCAAAGCCCTTGGTTCTCTTGCCCTTTGGTTGGGCTTGCACACACTGGAGATGAGGCCAGAGGAACATCTATATAGCTGTGGTCTCACTTAATACACAAATGGCATCATGGTCATTTGCTAGTGCTTACATTTCTGCCATATTGATGAGACCCCCTAAGCTCTAGAACTCAATCCAGCATCATGCTGAGGCCTTGTTTCTGTTAAAAAGAATGGCAGAAGTGAGAGACAGGCTTTGAGGGAATTCCAAATTGGAATCCTTTGTTCATCATCTGTCCAATGAACATTTATGGAATACCAATTATGAGCCAGGTATTGTGCTAGAAGCTTGAGATGCTAGAACAGAAAAACAAACACAAACCTTGAGATTATAGTTAAGCAGATAACCATACATGTATATTTGTTAATGTGATAAGTGGAAGCTCTAATGTCTTCTTAAGAAAGCAACTATTCAATCATTTCTTTTTTAGTACTGGTAATTGAGTTCTGAGCTTAGAGCTTGCTAGACAAGTACTCTATCACTTCAGCCATGGCCTCAGTCCTGAGTTTTTAAAGTGAGCCTGGTAGAGGAAAAACAGCCATCTAAGCAAAGAATTGAAGTAGCTCTTGAGGGTTAGGGACCACTAGCAGGTAAGGATGAAGTGACAGTAAAGTATCTTGATTAACAGAACAAAACTCAATAAGAGAACAAGAGGTGTAGGTACCAAACTAAAGGTCACGAGGGATAGGTCCCTTATCCTTAAATATTGGTCCAAGATGGTGGTAGCCAGCTAACGGCTAGGATAGTTGCAACTGGAAATGGTAAGGGTACTCTGGGTCAATTTCAGAAATGAGGAAGCTTATTAGGAAAAGATTAAATGAAAAAGTATCCAAAGGGAAGATGCCAAGATGACTCTTCAGTTTCTGTAAGGAGCCACAAGAACAAGATTCTGAGTTGTGACCACAATTCTCCTTGAAGTAACCTAAGAAACAGAGGTCAGGTATACCTTTTAGATATCTAGGTATGGACCAAGAATAAAAGCTAGGGTGAAATAAGTATGGGCAGATTTATAGTAATGAAATCTAAGAGAATGGCTACTTATCAAGAGAGCATAAAGTTGGGAACCCAACATGGAGACTTTTGAAAGTTACATTTAATGGTCAGGAAGAGAGAGGGTAGAGTCAGCAAAGAAGACACTGAGAGCCAGGAAGAGAAGAAGAAAACTAGTCAGAAGCCAAGAGAATAGTTTAACACAATAATCACCTTTGTTGGATTTTGCTGCCAGGTCAGAGATGAGAAATTAGAACTTCCACTGAATTTAGCAACATGGAGGTTCTTGGGGAGTAGACCTGACATGTGAAAATTTGTGAGTATGTGAAGATTTGTGAAATTAAGTATTTACAAGGTGTTAATAGTTTTTGATGTGCTAAGGCAAACTTACTAAGACAAAAATACCACGTATTGCTCAGGAATATGAACTGTAAATTGTTTAACTTTTCAAAACCTGATCTACAAGCAAGGCCTGTCTAAACCAAGGTACCCAATGATAACAGAAAATTGAGTTTTTGAGTGTAACTACCATAATGAGAGTTAGTGTGGGAAAAGCAGTTTCTCTACTTTCCCACAAGACTTCTGACACCAGATGTACATTCAATTCTCCAACTTAGACTATCACTCAGGTGTTCAATAACTTAATTCAATTTTAATTCTGATTCCACCTACCCACTGTAAGATACCACAAATTATGGATTTAGTCCCACAAGACAGCCTCTACTTCTGATGTCAATTACAAGTTGTAGCTTCTAACAAACAAGCTACACATTGGGGGGCAGGGGGCTCCAAAAGCCTTCTTCAGTTTTGATAATTTTCTAGAAAGGCTTACAGAACTCAAGGAAATACATTTGCTGGCTTGTTATAAATTGATGTGGGGCCTGAACTCTGGGCGCTGTCCCTCAGCTCTTCAGCTCAAGGATAGCACTCTACCACTTGAGCCACAGCGCCACTTCCGGCTTTTTTTCTTTTTGCTTATGTGGTGCTGAGGAATTGAACCCAGGGCCTCATGCACGCAAGGCAAGCGCTCTACCACTGAGCCACCTTCCCAGCCCCAACAATCTTAATTTTTAAAAAGTGACTTTCTATTAAATATAAGCCAGGATATAAGCCAGGAGAAGGTGATGCATAGGACAATGTACTTTAGGGTGGAATGGCAGACGGCTTCTATGTCTCCTGTGTATGCTGCCTCCTAGAACCTCCATGTTACAAAACCCAGAAACTCACGAAAGCTTCCTTCAAAAGTTTTTAATACAGATTAGTCTCCAGCCCAAAGTACTTTACATCCTAGAAACAGATTCAAACTCTTTATATAAACACATGGTCTTTTACATCCTATGCTGTGTAGGATTAATGCTCCAGAAGTAGCTTCAGTATGGCTTAAAAGGGATTATCTTAAATAGCAGGATACTGCCATCACATTATATAATAAGACAGTACTTTATTTTTATTTCAATAATGTGAGATCATATTATTTAATATCCTTTCAAAAGAAAGGCTTTCTAAGAAATATGGAGCCTTCCACATTTATCAGATGCTTTTTCATTATTTTTTTCCATTTTTGCAATTCTGGATCCAAACTGCATGGCCCGCTTTGGCAGAACAGCGGAGGCTGTAAGACCAAGTTCCACAGCTGCTAGACGTAGAAGTAGTTTTTCACCAATCCCACGGGGTAAAGTCAAATTTGCCTTTTCCCAAATTGGTAGGGCATTTAGGAAGGAGACAACATTTTCATCCAGAAAAGGAAATCTGTAAAATAAATAGATATGTAGTCACTATATAAATATTAAATCTGTTTATGCTTATTTACATACTTTATGGCCACAATTGAATCACATGAAAAAAGTTCTTTGTAACATAGAAAGGTTAATACATATGCTGCAAAACAAATTAAGTCTCAATAAGTAAATCAAGAAACAATTTCAAATTGTTTTCCAAGGTATCTTGGGAACAAGTATGACCTTAATTAATCTAACTGCATCAAATCCTTATCAGGTCCAAAAAACTGAACATTAAAACAATTTAGCAAAGTCCATAATCATGAACTTACTAAACACTAACTTACAGTATTAAAATTGTTCAAGCCCCACGACCAACAAAAAAAAAATTAATTAATTACACATAAAAATGGGGAAGGGGCAGTACTAGAGTTTGAACTCAGAACCTCTCGTACATCCATTGAGCCATGCCTCCAGCCCAGTCTTTCCACGGTTAATTTTAGGATAGAGTCTGCTTCCTGCTTTGAGTGCCCCTATGTGATAATCCACCTAATTTTAAGCTACCATCAGCACTGAGTTCATAGGTAAAAGCCATTGTGCCTTGCACCCCACCCCCTCCATGGATATGTATGGTCTTATTGATTCTTCTGTTTGGATTGGCCTGGAACCATAATCTTCCCAATCTCAGCCTCGTTTGGGATGACAAGCATATACCATTGTGACCAGCTATCAGTTGAGGAGTCATATAAACTCTTCTGCTGAGATGGGCCTCAAATCACAATCTTCCCATTTTCACTTTCTCAAGTAGCTAGAATTATAGGCATGAGCTACTGGTACCTGGCTGTTTTTACATTTAAATTGTCCAATCAGTAACAAATTGATATGCTAAAACAAAATAGTCTTAATTTTTAAAAAATGACTTTCTATCAAATATTTTCATCTTTTAATTTTCTCCACAAAATTCTAGGTCTTCTATTTTTTTTCCTTTTTACAATATTCTTACCATTCCTTCTCCCATTCCTATAGATTTTAGCTCAAGTAGAAAAGTTGAGAATGATAAAGGCATTTGTTACCAAAGATATCGTATAAAAATAAACTGCAAAAGCAAACAGACTAATCCAAATAAATAACTGTTATGATGGATGCCAAGATATAAGAATACTTTACTTAGATCTAACTACTGTGTGTTTGTTATATCACAATTCTGTATTAGCTGTTTTAAAACTCTTCATATACATTTTTGTCTGAGTATAACATATTTTCATGAGGGTATTAACTGCTTTCCTTTTGACATAGCTGAAATAATAAACTCAATTTCTTTCATTTTCCCTATCCCTTCTTTTTTCAATATTTCAAAGAGAAAAGAATATACAGATTAGTAAAATATTAGTTACATATTTACAGTGAAATCTCAAAAATTATAATAGAAGAGCCAAGTATGGTGTGGTATACTATATGCCTGTAATTTGGATGTAAAGGCAGGACAATCTTGACTTTGAATTCAGTCTGGGCAAAATTATCCAGACCCTATCTCAAAAACAAATACAAATGAAAAAGACCAGTAGCATGGCTTAATAGAGTGTTTGCCTAAAATATCCCAGACAAAAAGTAAAAACAAAAATGACAATAGTACTCTAAACTTTACATGAATCAAGAGTGGCAATGTAACAACAAAAATTGTGTAACAGCAACCATGATCTAGTGGAAAGGACAAAGATCTGAACTAGAGACAAGAATGACTTCGAGAGATGGAGGGAATTAAGGGTATTATGATGCTCCAACAATTCCAATGAGGTTCACCTACAATGCTCTGTTGTGGCAATTGGTACTCTTTTTTTTTTCCTGGTTGATTGTGGGGCTTGAACTCAGGGCCTGGGCACTGACCCTGAGCTCTTTTGCTCAAGGCTAGTGCTCTACTACTTTAAGCCACAGCTCCACACCCAACTTTGGAATGATTAATTGGAGATAAGTCTCATGAAGGCTTTTCTGGCTGGGTTGTCTTTGGACTGTGATCCTCAGATCTCAGCCACCTGAGTAGCTAGGATTACAGGTGTGAGCCACCAGTGGCTGGCTATATTTTAAGCCATGAGTGAATCACAATTATTTTAAGACTTGGACAGAGCTCGGTTAGAATGAGTACTATTTCCTGTCTGTAAACACCTCATCTTGTGGAACATGTCTACTCTCAGATCCAGCCCCAGAAGTAGTATCTAGCTTTGTGGGGTTTTTAATTTTTTTTTTTTGGTGGATATTGGGTTTTGAACTCAGGATCTGGGCACCATCCTTGAGCTTTTTTGTTTTGTTTGTTTTGTTTTTTTCCCCAAGATGGTGCTCTACTACTTGGGCTACAGCTCTATTTTTGGCTTTTTGCTGGTTAATTGGAAATAAAATTCTCATGGATTTTCCTGCCTAGGCTGGCTTTGAACCACAATCCCAAAATCTCAGCCTCTACAAGTGTGCACCATCAATTTTATGGACCCTATAGTGTTGCCACTAAGGTACACACACATAAGAGAAAGATAGACGAAGGGACTCTAGTACTGAAACCACCAAATAAGTATAGATATAAGGCAGAAATGTCTATAGAGACATAACCATATTCTGTAACTCTAGAGAAAGCTGTGTGACTTACTTACAGAAACAAAATGAAATGAAACCCTTTTAAATATCATCTCGTAGATTGGTGCTGGTGGTTTTCCTGTAATCTTGGCTATTTACAAGGCTGATTTGGGAGAACTGCGAGATCAGGCAAAAAGTTCACACGACATCTTAACCAATAGCTGCACATGGTGGTGAGCACCTGTCATTTAAGCTACATGTGAGGCTACATTTCCAGGTCATCTTGGAGAAAAAAGTTCACAAGACAATATTTAAGGAAAAACAACAAAAATCTTATATGTGGTAGTGCACCGCTGTCATCCAAGTATGGCAGAAATTGTAAAACAGAAGCAAAAGCTACACCACATCTTAAAACTAACCAGAGCAAAAATGGCTGGAGGTGTGTCTTAAGCTGGAGAGTGCCTGACAAGGAAATACAAAGCCTTTAGTTCTAACCGCAGTATAAAATTCTCTCTTGGAATTACATTATTTCAGTTTTGCAGTCTTTTTTCACCTTGAGAACAATCCTGCGATTGCATCAACTTGGAACATGACTGACAGGACGCTTCTTTAAGCACGAGCTTAAGTAACAACTGCTCCACTTGTTATCTCAGCTTTGCTTCTGGGTGACTAGAAAGACAATATATTGTTTTGTTCCCATTATTTACATGAATAATCCTCAACGTGGGACAACAAACAAACAAGAACTTTGAAGTCTTTTATACTCTTTGGGCCAAGTGAAGGTGGCTCATACTGAGCCAAGTGCTGGAGGCTCACCACCAGTAACTCTTAACTACTCAGCAGACTGAGATATGAGGATCACAGTTCAAAGCCAGCCCAGGCAGGAAAGTCCAAGGGACTCTCATGCCCAATAAACTACTCAGAAAAAGCCAGAAATGGTGTTGTGGCTTAAGTGATAGAGTGCTAGCCTTGAGCACAGAAAAGCTCAGGGACAGAGCCCAGGCCCTGAGTTCAAGCCCCCAGGACCAGAAAAAAAAAAAAAAAGTTTTTCACACTATCTGATTTTTCTTGGTGTATGTCTAAGGTCTTCTCCTCAGATAGGTCTCAGTTTGTAACCCAAGCTGGCCTTGACCATGCTATGTAGTACAGACTGGCCTGAAACTTTTGATCCTCATGCTTCAGCCTCCCCAATGTGGAGATGAAAGGTGTGCATCATACCTAGCGGGTAATCTTCTGTTTTTACTAAAACATCTGTACCCAAGTAATCAGAATTACCTTGCTTCTTTGCCATGATCACCAATAACTCTATCATCACGACCAAGATTTCTAGAAGAAATTCGACCCAGTTCCATTGCTATTTCCTTATTCAGTCCTTCCAAACCCAGTGTCTGAAAACGAATACGATGACGAGAATAACCTGCAAGTTGTTCATCAGCACCAATTCCAGTAAGAATTACCTAGAAATGTGTTAAGTGTTAAAAAAATTCATATAAAAACATAACTATACAACTATATGTAACTAAGTATATATAACTTGTGCAAAAAAAATTAAGACAAAAGTGTTAAAATTATAATCCAAAGTAATTTTGGAGAAAAACCCCAAGGTCAGAAATCAGTAAAACATGCTCAGTTTTTTTAAGGAGTCACAGATACATTGTAATTTAAATGCAGCTAAAACAGGCTATATTTCTAATTTTATATTTTAAAAGATTTTGGTCAAAATTAGGCCTTGGAATTTCTTTTTTTTCTTTTTGCTTATGTGGTGCTGAGGAATCGAACCCAGGGCCTCATGCATGCAAGGCAAGCGCTCTACCACTGAGCCACCTTCCCAGCCCGCCTTGGAATTTCTTTTACCTTTGCACTACTCTGATATGATTTCACGTCATCCTGTGTAACTAGCCAACCAATTCCTCTAGAAGCAAACCAGACTGCACAGCCAATGCTATCATCCAAAACTGTACCCAAAGGCTGAACTAAGTGACATATTTGAGTTCTTCTCAGTTTCTGTAGTTCTTCCAGAGAAACATTAATTTCAATAAAATTCCAAATTCGAGAAGGATTAACAGTCTGTAGTTCTTTTAGTCCAGCTCTTCCTGTAATCCTATCTGGTACATTGTAAGAACTATCATCATTGTTAGAGACTCCTTCAGAGGGTACTTCACAGAGATATTTGGTTTTACTCCTTTCTTCATGAAAACTAGTTGGTTTGTTCTTTTCCTTAGTCATAAAAGCCACATTGAGGAGATCAATTGACTCATCTATAGGAATATGACGATCAGCAAGGGTTGCAATCACCATGGAATCAATGCCTCCAGAAAAGAGTATAGCAACATTTGCTTTCCTATTACTAGTTTGTAAAACTTCTTTTGGTGCCAGATTTTTGTCTCTGGCTAAATACAAGACACGTCTTTTGACTGCAATACTCAAGACATCAATGAATTGTTGAACTACTTTTTTCATGTGTTGATCTGTAAGAAAGACCTTAAGTGTCTCTCTTGTAGGTGAAACGCTGGAATTGTTCTTGCACTGCATTTCCACTTCAGCTTCAGGTAACATCATATTTAAGGGGACAATGGGATTTTCAAGATAGAGTCTGGCTTCATTTGCTACCACTGATACAAATGTGGGTAACTCTGCTGAAATTTGAGTCAGGCTATTAACATATTTTTCCATAACATTCTCTTCAGAAATATATTTCCAAGGATACAATTTTAAAATCACACACCCAGAAATGGCAGTAGATTTGAGATCAATTTTGAAAATTCCAGATGCTGGAACCTCTTGCCACTGATTTGCTACTCCAGATGTTTGGGTGCCAACTGAAGAGAGGCAGAAATTCTTGCCCATATTGCTAAAATGCCAAAGTAAGCTCCGGCGACCAAAAAAGTCCCTACCAAACCATAAGTAATGACTAGAGGCTTGATAATATATAAAAGACCAAGGACCTTGGACTTCTGAGAAGAGTGACAAGATATCAGATTCATTCTCAGAAGCACAAAGTTTATTAAACATAATTTGAGTATCATTCTCTTCAGCTTCAACCTTTATTCCACTGAAGACTTCTCCATTCCACAGGAATACATTGCCTCTTTCATCTTCCATTGGCTGAACAGTCAAAATGCCTCTCAAGTGAAGGACATGACCAGAGAATAAACACTGGTAGTCAGCATCAGATTTTAACAACTGTCTACCACTATTGGGTCCCCGTCGCTTAAGATTATAGAGTAAATCTTCTTTCAAATCTTTACTAAAATGCTCAGCAGAAAAGCTTACAGAACAACAAATGCCACACATTGTTATGTGAAACGAGGGTGACTATTTCTTGATTTGGGTCTTCTCCAAGTTTTCTATTTCTTGGTATTCTTTTTTTAGTTCGTCCAAGATATCTGTGGAAGGGAGAAAGAAAAAAAATGTAAGTAAAACAAAAATTTGTGAACTTTTTCTCAGTAAATCATAGGACAATATAGTATATATATAAAATCATAGCATATTAATATATACATGTATTACTAGTGTCAAGAATAATCTACAATTGACTGACAAAGAAAATTAATTGTTTAGAGATAATTTCCATTCATTGAGTACTCACTTCTGTGCAGACACTTGGCCAAGCTCTTTACCTACAATCTTTAAATCTTACAAGATCTTAGAGTCTTAATCTATTTCACTGTCACAAAGTAGAAAATGAAATGACTTTTTCCCCCTACTTCTGTCAAACTCTTAATCACATTATTATTGCTCTCTAACAGATTCTTTTAATAGCAGACTTATCTTTGAAAGTCTGAACTTGAAGAAAATCACTGCACTAATTTCAGATATATAAACATTCAGATACACTTCAACCGAGGTAAAACTACGAATTTCCACAGAAAGATTTTCTATCCTATTCCATATATAATACTTACTTTTTCTTTCAGAAAGCATTTCTGTTCGGTCTGCAAGAAAGAATATGTTGCTGTTTTGTTGTTGCCTATATACTTTCTGCAAAAGATAATTTAGGCTAATATCAGGATTTGATCTAAGAAGTAGCATATGTCAGAACTCTCCTATTATTCTTAATTCTTGACTCCTGGAATGTATGTCCAGAATATGTTCAGTAAATATATAGAAATAAAAAAAGATCAACCATTATTCTACCTCTCAGAAACTGCTACAAGATAGCACCAAGGTAAAAGTCATTCTTCCCTCTTCACATAATATTATTTTAAACAACAATAAAAAAATCTACCACCAGGTGCAGGTAGTTGATGCCTGTAAATCCTAGCTACTCAGGTGTCTGAGATTTGAAGATTATGATTCAAAGCCAGCCAGAGCAGTAAAGTCTGTGAGACTCTATAATAACCAAAAAGAAGTGGAGCTCTGGCTCAAGTGGTAGAGCAGGAGCCTTGAGCAAAAAATCTCAGGGACATTGCCCAGGCCCTGAGTTCAAGCCCTAGAAACAGAACACAAACACAAAGTCTATCAACCTAAAGGCTTGTAATTTACTTTTATAGATGAGCAATGTACTGAGACTATTTTCCTTATTAATAGATTCTTTTACATTACTGCATAAACAGAGCCTACTCTAGTTTATTTGCTCTGACCTCAAAATTTTAGGCATTTTGAGAATTACCAATTCTTCACTATTGTAAACTGATTTTTTGATGAATAACTTTGTAAGTAAATTTTTATACACATTCACAATTGCTTCCTTAAGTATCAATTACTATAAATAGAAATACTAGCCAAAATGTTAATACAACTTTGGTATCTTCACCAATTTGCCCTTTGGAAAAAATCTCAGTAATTTTGCTTATCTTCTAACATAAATATCTAACATAAATATCTAAACTTTGTTTACCAGATAATTTAAAAAGGTTTTAATGAACCTTTTAATTTCTTCCTGAAGTTTATTTTATATTGGTAGTCCTGGGGCTTGAACTCAGGGCTTGGGCACTGTCCCTGAACTACTTTTGCTCAAGGCTGGCATTCTACAACTTGAGCCACAGCACCACTTCCAGCTTTTTCTATTTATGTGGTACTGAGAAACTGAACCCAAAAGCATGCTACGCAAGCACCTACCAAGACACATTCCCAGTCTCTTACTGAACTTTAAAATGTAGTTTTCTCAGTAAAGCTACACATGAAGCAGAGGCATGCTTATTTATGAATATATTGATAGAAATATCATTAAATAAGCACTAAAGTTTACCTAAATTCTGGGAACAAGGTGAAAGAAATTCTTTTCGATCAATATTATTCAAATCACTTAAAGGAATAGTTTCACTTCACTTTCATTTATTTCAAAACAAAGCCATCAAAATCAAGTATTAAATAGTATCATTAGAATTACAGCTACCAAATAATAAAGTACAATAAGCAACATTTGTTTCAAAGATTATGTCAATGGTAGACAGTAGGGAACATCTTCAATTGAGAGATTTAGTTACATAATAAGCAACTGAACACAAAAATATGATTCAAGCTGTAGAGTGCCTTCCTTGGTTAAAAAAGCCAAATGATAGCTTGGAGCCCTGAGTTCTTGTCCCAGTATTGACATATAAAACAAACAAAAAAGAACCCCCAAACTAGGACGTTTCACTTTTCCAATTTAATAACCAAGGTGCTGAAATCTACTGAATTGTGACATACTCGATCTAATTCTCATGTATGTATTTCTAATACCTTTAACAGTTTAAATAACCAGGCCTCCCACATAGTGTTAAGAATTTCTCTAATGACTTACCCTATTCTTCTTCAGGTTAGAAAGTTCATCCACGACAATTTTTTGTTCTTTAATCTATTGAAATAAAGAAAAACTCCTTAAATCAGAAGTTTTCAAAGCTCCTTTTAGTGTTACTTTTAGAGAGACAGGCCTAAATGGGCAACCTAAGAATCTACCTAGTTTCAAAAGACACAGACAGACAGACTGACTGACAGACACACAGACAGACACGCACACGGCTGTCAGTGACGCTGCTGGGCCTGCTTACTAGGTGGCGGGGTGAGAGGGTGATGAGGTGAGGCAGGCGGTTTAAAAAGAAAACAAAGGGTTAAAAGTAGAGCTGGCCCCAAGCCACTTGGGTCTAACCCCGGGCACGTTTCTGAGCCTCCTTCAGCGCAACTAGTTTCCCAGAGACGGGAAAGCAGCAGGGCCGAGCGGGGGTGCGGCCGGCTCCACACGCCAAGCCCCGGCCTTCGGCCTTCCGGTGGCTTTTCCCACTCACCCTGCTGCTAAGATCCTCCTTCTGTGCGGTCGAGCGATCGCCGGAGAGGAGCGCAGCGCCGTCGTCCCGGGCCGCCCCGCCGCCGGGCATCTCCACACCCAGCAAAATCAAGACCGACGGCGCACAGTGACGACGTAACCGAGGCGGCTCCCCGCGCGCGTCCTCCGGAAGGCTCCTCCACTCTGCCCCCTTCCCAAGAGTCCGCGAGCCTACTTGACGCCTGCGCAGACCGGCTCTGGCCGCCGCAATGCCACTGCACATGCGTACTGCTGCTCAGGGCCCGAGAGCTCGGGTAGTTGCCGTGGCGGGATCTGAGAGGCGTCCTCTGGCGGAGCGGATGTAGAAGTTCTTGGGGTTTTTCTCAAGGCCTCAGAACCAAGTAAAGGACGATGTTACAAGCGCCTCGTAGGGGTATATGTGGGGAATAGCAAAGTACCCCTATTATCTGGGCAAAGTCCGAAACTGAGGCACGGATGTCACACGTGCACTTTACCACGTGTCCAGGATGAAAAATAGACGTAAATGTGGACCCCAGCCGAGTGGAAAGTGTTGGAGCACATACCCCATGCAGTATGGGCAATTTCTGTGAATTTAAGAAGTCCTGAACTTTGGAAGTACCCAAAACAGATTACTGGAAAGCCAGGTGCTGGTTTTGCTTTGTCCTGGAATGACGAGGCTGCTTCACCACGCAGTCTAGGGGGGTTAGATGTAGAGAGAGGACGAAGGTAGGTTTGTGGACTTACCGTATAGAGATGTCTGCAACTTCTATGGGGTAGAACCTCTACATTTACAGTTGGTAATTTATTCTGTAAGGCATTAATCAGTTCTGCGTCTAACATCACCGTCTTAACAATTCCTTATTAAAACACTGCTTAACTATTTTGTTTTTGTTTTTAACTTGGTGACTGGAGTTTGAACTCAGGGTTTCACACTTGCTGTGTTGGAGCTCTACCGCCTGAGCCATTCCCCCAGCCCTTTTTGCTCTGGGATCTGATGATCTCAGTCCGAAGCCAGCCCAAGTAGGAAAGTCCACAAGACTCTTTGCTCCAATTAAACATCAAAAAGCTGCAAGCGGAGCTGTGGCTTGAGTAATAGAACACTAACCTTGAGCACAAAAATCTCAAAGACGGTGCCCAGGTCCTGAGTTCAAGCCCCAGGACCTAAACACACACACACACAAAATAATAGCTCTTTGAGATCCAGTTAATCTCTACAGACATGGTTGAAAACTGTAAGATCTTTCTTTCTCAGTGTTGTAGCCAGAAAACACAGTTCTCAAAAATTTAGTGTACAGTTGAAATATCCAGCTATATACCCAAGTTCCATTACCAGAAGTTACAGATTTTCAAGAAGCCTGTGTTTTGGAGATTATTCTGGAAGTGGAGAAGAGGCATATGGTCATTGGATTACATTTTGAAAAATATACCACTCCCATTTGCTTCCAAACGTTAGATTTTCATTTTAGTAGGCATTTGGTGTCCCCTCTTAAAACTTTCAAACACATACAAAAACAGAAAGAGGATAATGAATATCTATGTTCTCAGCTCAGCTTCAATAATTATCTATTATTGGATTATTTCATAGAAATCTCCACCTACTTTTCCTCTCCCTCAATCCTCAAAATTCACCCAAGCACCTCATTGTGTCTTTAAAAATTAATTATGCATTTAAAAAATAAGGATTTTTTATAAAATACAATAATGTTATGTTATTTAACATAAATATATAGTGACACAATAATTAAAATTATAACTATAATAATTATGCTAAAATTATAATGTATTAATATATCAAAATTATATTCCATATTTTCTTGGTTATCTCTGATGATTTTATGTGGTACTTAACTCTTTAAATAGGTAGGGCTTCTCCATCCCTAATACCTTCTTTAATTTCTTATTTCACTTTCATAATGTATTTGATAAGTAACAAGATTATTTTACAGAATTTAAGAATGCCTTCTATATTTCTTTAAAATAGTTAAAAATTTAGAGGTTTAGATTCAGAATTGACTTTTCTTTTTAATTAAAAGAAAAGCTTTGGGAATTTTTTTTCTTTTTCTTTTTTTCTCTCTCTTTTTTTTTTTTTTTTTTTTTGGTTGTGGGCCCTGAACTCTGGGCCTGTGTTCTGTCCCTCAACTCTTCAGCTCAAGGCTAGCGCTCTACCACTTGAGCCACAGCACCACTTCCAGCTTTTTCTGCTGGAAAACCCAGGACCTCAAGCATGCAAGGCAAGCACTTTACCACTGAGCCACCTTCCCAGCCCTGGGAAAATTTTTAGAATGGTTTTAAAGCATATTTGTAGAAGTCAAAGTGGTTGGGTTTTTGGTTTTTGTTTTGGGGGTGGGGGGTGGTCGTTTTGTTTTTGCTTGTTTCTTTTCTACAGTACTATGGATTAGAGCTTATGCTTTTGTATTTGATAAGCCAGTACTCTACCACTTGAGGGTATGCACACCTCTGGTCCATTTTAGCTAGGATTATAGGTGTGTACCACCATGTTGGCCAAAACTTATGTTTTATATTAACAATAGCATTTAACAAATTTTTATTAAAAATTTCACTTTGTGTGTGTGTGTGTGTGTGTGTGTGTGTGTGTGTGTGTGTGTGCTGGTCCTGGATTGCCCCTGAGCTTTTGTGCTCAAAGCTAGTGCTTTACCATTTGAGCTACAGCCCCACTTCTGGCTTTTTGGTGCTTGCTTAGAGCTAAGAGTCTTATGGACCTTTCTGCCCATGTTAGCTTCAAACTGCAGTCCTCATATCTCTTTGCTCTCTGAGTAGCAAGGATTACAGGGGTGAACCACCAACACACAGCTGAAAATGTTCACATTTTAGTTATGAAATATGCTCATCTATTAATTAACAGAAACTTTAACTGCTTTTTTCACATGGATCAAATATGTGGCTTAGAATTTTAGAATTAAGGGATCTTAGCACTTTCATAGTTATGGTCAACTTAAATTACAAATAGAAGAAAATATGATGAAAGTACTTGCGTTTTTATTTAGAACTCAAGCAAAGTTCATATGATATTAAAATTATAAAATTTAATCCTTCCGGGCTGGGAAGTTGGCTCAGTGGTAGAGTGCTTGCCTCCCATGCATGAGGCCCTGGGTTTGATTCCTCAGCACCACATAAGCAGAAAAAAAGCTGGAAGTAGTGCTGTGGTTCAAGTGGTAGAGCACTAGCTTTAAGCTGAAGAGCTGAGGGATAGCACCAGGCCCAGAGTTCAGCCTCCACAACCGAAATCCTTCCAGTAACTACTACCTAGCAAAATACCTATTGAATACCTATTAATAGGTATTCAAATACTTGTTGAATTTCACTAAAACCAGTTTTTCAGCCATTGAAAACCATTTCATAGCCAGGCACTGGTGGCCCACACCTGTAATCCTAGTTACTCAGTAGATTGAAATCTGAGGATTGCAGTTTGAAGACAGCCTGGGAAGAAGTCTGTGAGAATCTCCAATTAACTACTAAAAAGCCAGAAATCAAGCTGTGGTTCAAGCGGTAGGGTATTAACCTTGAGTAAAAGAGCTCAGTGACAGTGCCAGGTGCTGAGTTCAAGCCCCAGGACCAGCACATACAGACACAGACACACTTTATAATTTTGGCCATGGATTCTATGAGAAAATGCCAATGAGCAAGTGAATAGTCCTAGAACCTGGTAGAACTTCTGAACTAATAAGCTACATGACTTTGGACAGACCATTGCATTTTGGAGCAGTACTTATCTATGACAGTATATTCTTAATATCCTCCAAGATTGATCCACCTTTTTTGTAGGTGAATTCTGTTCTTTATCAATACTAGATGAACTTAGGAATTTTCAAAGGTCTGAAATGTACCTAACCAAACTTTATAACATTATACCATTTGTCAGAAACATCCTATACTGTTCTGTAGCCTTATAGGAAATTAAAAAATGTGACTTACATATTTAAAATTTCTTACCTTACTCATGTAACTGTAACCCCTTTGCACAGTATCTTTACAATAAAAATATATATTAATTTTTTTCAGTAGCTACATTACAAAGTAAGCAGAATGACATAAAATTAGTTTAAATAATGTTTTATTGATCCCAACATATTTAAAATACTATTTCACCATGTAATCAATATAAAAATCATGAGATATTTTCACATTTTAAATTCTGTCTTGAAAATTTGCTATGTATTTTACACTTATGGCACATCTCAATTCAGACTTACTGTATTTCAAAGGCCTATTACCATATAGGCTAGCAGACAACTACTAAGTCAATCAGTCCTAGGCCTGCTGACCCATTAAACTAATAAAATGGAGATCTGTCATTCTTGTATGAAATCTAACATCGTAGTCAAATAAACTTTAAGTTGTTTTTCACATCAGTAGAATTGAAATTTTTCTTTTTTGATTTGTAATACGAGTACATTGGATGATTAATACAAAGTAACAGTATAGTTTTATAAGAGTGCTTTGCAAAACATACAATGTTGTATGAGGTGTTTAGGTTTTATATGTATCTACTGTCTCATTCCATCAAAGCTTCAAGGGAAAAAACTATGGAGAACAAAGGAGAAATTAAAGAAAACAGAGAGGAAAGGGACACAAGGAATGAAGAAAGGGAAGAATAAGTGGATGAAAAACTGATGGAAGAAAGAAAAAGGATGGGAGGAAAGAAGAGAATTAACAAAGGTCAAACCTCAGAAACACCAGTCTTTATTAGGTCAATAGTTAAATTATGCTGTCACCTGAACTGTCAAAAAGAGAACTGAGGTATTGAATGCAATGCTCTTTATGTTTTAAAAGAGCATTTTTTTCACAAAGTACATTTTAAAAGTAAATCATGTCCCAAGAACCCCTTAGACAGTGGACTTCTTTATGTGTGGCACGGACCTAATAGTAAGCTTGGGCTTTGTGATCACATATGTGTAAACTATAAAGTTCACCTTATCATGAGAGTAACAAAGCAAAAATATGCAATTTGCTCCTTGAATTGTTTTGATCAATGACATTTAAAATATTGTGATATTCATTTGTATATTTCACTTTAAATTTTAAGTTAAATTTCTTAGTAAGTTGGTTAAAAGATACTTTTCATTGAAGTTCCCTTTGTGTGTGTGTGTGTGTGTGTGTGTGTGTGTGTGTGTGTGTTTTAGAACAAAGTGGGTTGAATTGGCAGATACACCTCTAAAGGGGAGGACAAAATGGGACATACCTACCATGACCTATAATAAGAATTTCCAGTGCAGTGTTCATGTCATCTGAACTAAAATTCTA